CAGTTCTTAATCCTAATAATAGCTAATGTTTACTGAGTGCTTACTGCACGTCAAATAACTGTGTTAAATGCTTTACATTTAATCTTTATAACACTATGAGGCAAATGCAATTTTGTAGATGAAGGGCTGTAACTTAGTGAGGGGGGCCAGGATTCAATTCATGTTTCTGACAAATAAGCTAAGTTATTTCTAGAGCAGTGGTTATTAAACATATTTGGGATCATAAATCCTGGTAGAAATCTGATAAAAAGCTATGGATTATCTCCGCCAAATAACTTGTAAGTATGTAAAATTCTACATATTAAATTTTGGGGTCTCACAGACCTTCCCTCTCAAAGCCCTTCTACTGACGCATTAAAAGTCAGTCTCACCTTAGATTATACTTAAGGGCATTCAACTAGAAACCAGAAAATTTTAACATTAAAAACATTACAGTACTATGATTGTGTCCATGTTGTAATGAAGGTCTAACATACCTTAAAATACCTGAGAGAAAGGTATTCAATTTTGTAGACTTAACATGCTACCCGGAAGAAACAAAATCAAAACAACAAACAGCACATTCTGCTTTTTTATCTGAAGCAAATATGTGTAATATATTGGTAGAAACCATTCTGTTAACCAAATCATGTCTTTAATTGGACAAGTTAAAAACAGGCTTATTGTAAAGAATTCAGAAAATTGGTAAAAAAGTATAAAGCCAGAGGTGCTTCCTGTTAATTAACCCATGTGGCATATTTCCTTCAAGCTTTTTAAAGACTGGAACACCATTATTTCTGAATAGAATAGTATCTAGTATCTTCAGTTGACAATAGTAACTCTAATGTCATGGAAAATTTCTAGTTGTATTCTGAATAAAATGTTTAGTTTTTATTTTACTGTAGCTAATTCTAGGAAAATATTTAAACACGAGTGATATTGTCACTAATCATGATTTCCCCCCGTAAAGAGGATTTACCATATAGCACTTAATATATTTAAATATTCCACTAGACCACTCGTTACGGCAGAAGATGCCCAAGATAAAACAACTTTACAGTCTTAACCACAAGAATATAATCTTGATTTCATAATCGTTAAGAATCACAGCATTTTGAGTTCTGGAGTCAGTGTTCATATGTTCCAATATTTCAAGCTATTAAAGAACAGTCTGGCTAAGATGACTAGCTCGAGGTCTGGAGCTAGACTATTTGAGTACGAATTCTTGCTCTGCCATTCAACTAACCATGTGATAACGTTTTGTTCTAGTCATAAGAGTACCATCTAGTTTTAAGTTTCTCGTATTTCAGGCAGGATTTAACTACACAGGTTAGCTAGACAAACAGACGCATCTTAAAATTTTCTTGCCTTGTTTACAGCTCAAGAGTTAATCACAAATAATGCCAATGAAGTACTTCAAATTTTTAAGTGAAATGACAAAAAAAGAAACCAAAGCAACAGCATTTTTATCTTTAACCATATACAAAACTTAATGCTGCTACTGTATTTATTTACTAATAACTAAGCACAATTTGGCATTGCTGTAACAAGGTAATCACGAATTGTTGAGAACATGTGGCTATTAGGAATGCAAGAGTAATTGATATAATTACATATCACCACAAGATGGAGTGAGAGTTCAACACACACACACACACACACACACACACACACACGCCTCTCAAAAGACTTACTGATCTTATTCCATTCTGCCATCTAGTGGCAATATAATTAGGTATTACTCTCTTGGATCAGTCTCCTATATAATAAAATAAAAATAAGCAGTTTCATAAGAGTTAAGAAATTAGGTGAAAGATAAGATTAAGCACAGAAAGAGGTAATATCATTCAGTATAATGGCAAGGAGAAGCATGAGAGAATGTCAGAGTGAAGTCCCAAACAGGCAAAACAAGTTTAAAAAATAAAATCTATTTAAAAACTAAAACGATATCTATTTTAAAATATAACTTTCTTCTTTAATTCCTTTCAATATAAAGAACTCCAAAGATGGCTTCAACTATCCCTTTAAAAGGACAAGTAGTTTAAACATTTTAATGTTGTCTTTTTTATTTAATAAAATTGAAAACTATAAAATCACAAGGAAGGAAGTTCTCTAGGAACTTACACATATTTTGGGTAGGACTATTTAGATTTATAGTCTATAATATTGTTCTTTTCATTGAATAACAATGCTTTTATTTGCTTAAGTTTCACATTTGGAATTTAAGGGGTATAATTTTTAAATTTTTTACCAAAAAAATGTACATACTATGTCAAACATACATAATCAAAATTAGAAAGCAAAGGGTTAATAGTCTTGATAATTTAAAAAGCTCTATAAATCAGAAAAAGACAATCACTCCAAAAGGAAAACATGAAAGATATGACCAAGCCATCTACAAATAATGTAGTTAATAAACAATAAAAAATATCACTCATTAGTAACCTGATTAAAATGATGATCTTAATAATGACATTAAAATAGTATTTTTTGCTTCTCAGTATATCAAAGAGAAAGATTTATAATAACCAGTTTTGGTGAGGACATAGAAAAGCAGATGCTGTTGGTAAAACTGTAAACTGTGCAACCATTCTAGAGTACGTTGAATGGGAATACATTTTTACTTAGATTTTCAACTTCTAGAAATTTATGCTAGGCAATAACTCCAAGTTTATACACAAAGATTTATCTGTAGGGATATCATTAATTAAATTGTTGTTTGTAACAGCCCAAACCTGGCCATATGTAAAATTTCAACCATAGGCGATTCAGCTAAGTAAACTATGGCACATCCATATGCTAGACTACTACATAACTTGTAAAAGTCATGGTGTAGAAAGATTAATGACATCAGAAAATGCTCACCTCTATGTGAAAAAGCAGGTTATAATGCTATATGTATAGCATGATACCAATTTTTTTTCTTTTTTAAAAAAGTACTTTATTTTCCTCTTTGTGCTTTTCTAAATTTCCTAATTTACATGTATTGTTTTTATAATCAAAATAATATGATAAAATTACTAATTTATTACACATCACAAAACTCTTGATTACTGTATTTTCATATAAAATATAAAATTTTCCAATCAAATTTACATTTGCATATTTAGGTGAGTGGAAGTAATCTTAGGTTAAATACAGGTTTCAGATGTATGTGTTCAACACAAAAAGGATACTGAGAAAGATTCTTAGATAATTTTAGGTAATTTCCAGAGACCACTTAAAGCTAATAAGCATGGTTTGGAAATTCCTCACTGAAAAGCCAGAACTACATCTGCACTTAAGAAAACATTTTAAAATTTATTATTCTAAATCTATTAGTTGTTTTGCATTCTCTTTCCAAGATCTAAGTATATTTTCTGAATATTCAAATTTGACTCTTTCTTAAAATTAAAATATCAAAATGACCTCCCCAATATTAAATATCATAAAATTGCAGATTATCATTTATTCATGGAAATAACCTAATGAAAGCCTCCTATTTACTAAAGAATAGTCCACTTATCCAAAGAAGATATTTATTTCAATACTGTCATTCTATAAGAACAAGACACCAAAAAGAAAATAATAAATTTAGTGTATTAAACTAGCTGCTTCTCGCCAATACAAGAAAACATATAAGCTAAATAAAAATGGATGTAAGTTTAACACTGAAACTTCATTCACAACATATTGGGTGGGCCAAAAAGTGCATTCGGTTTTTTAAGTAAAAATAAAAGACACATTTTTCATTTTCACCAAGAACTTTATTGAACAACGTATTCACCTTTTTGTTCCACAACCTTCTGCCATTTTTCAGGCAACTTCGTAATTCCATCTTCCCAAAACTTTTCATCTTTTTGAGCAAAGAACTGTTCCAGATGCCTTTTGCAGTCTTCCAGGGAATTGAAATTTTTTCCATTAAGAGAATTTTGTAAAGACTGAAATAAATGGAAATCCGAAGGTGCAATGTCTGGTGAATATGGTGGTTGAATCAGAACTTCCCACCCAAGCTGTAACGATATTTGCCTGGTCATCAAAGAGACATGCAGCCTTGCGTTATCCTGATGGAAGATTATGTATTTCCTGTTGACTAATTCTGGACCCTTTTCATCGAGTGCCGCTTTCAGTTGGTCTAATTGGGAGCAGTACTTGTTGGAATTAATCGTTTGGTTTTCCAGAAGGAGCTCATAATAGAGGACTCCCTTCCAATCCCACCATATACACAACATCACCTTCTTTGGATGAAGACCAGCCTTTGGTGTGGTTGGTGGTGGTGCACTTCGCTTGCCCCAAGATCTCTTCCATTCCACATTGTTGTACAGTACCCACTTTTCATCGCCCGTCACAATTTGTTTTAAAAACGGAACATTTTCATTACGTTTCAGTAGAGACTCACATGAGGAAATATGATCAAGATGGTTTTTTTTCACTTAACCTATGTGGAACCCAAACATCAAAGCGATTCACATAACCAAGCTGGTGCAGATGATTTTCAACACTTGATTTGGATATTTTGAGTATGTCAGCTATCTTCCGCGTGGTATAATGTTGATCTCAATTATTTTTTCGGTTTGATCCCTATCAACTTAAACTGGTCTACCCAACCGTGGAGCATTATCCAGCAAGAAATCTCCAGCACGAAACTTCACAAACCACTTTTGACATGTTTGATCAGTCACAGCTCGTCCCTCACACACTGCACAAATGCTTTTGTGTGTTTCAGTTGCATTTTTACCTTTCTTGAAATAATAAAGCATAATATGCTGAAAATATTGTTTTTTTCTTCCATCTTCAATATTTAAATGGCTACACAAAAATTCACCAATTTTGGTGATCTGACAGCTGTCACATACAATCTAACAAAATTGTTTCAAATAAAGTTAAAGACAACTAACTGCTACTAGATCCATCTTATAGAAAAAACTGAACGAAACTTTTGGCCCACCCACTACAGTGGTCTTCTACTAGCAGAATTTGAAAATTACATCTTTTCAGCTGTATTCTAAACAAAAATAATTAAAAATCAATTCAAATAATTTAGAATAAGTGCTTTATTTTAATTCCCACAAAAACTGAAACTATCATTTACGTCAGTTGCAACAGCAATAAAAATTAGAAGTCAATTCGTTTCTTGAAAACACTTTTTATAAGCATAAAACAAACGTAAAGGACACAAAAAGGTACTCCTTTTAAACTGAAGATAATCTGATTACTTGTGACATACACACCTGCAGATGTACAAACAGCAAATGCATTCAAAACAGTGCAAGATTTAACTAATTTAGGACAGTATTCCAACCAATCCCAACTCAGTTTTCAATTACTTGTGCAGGCTTATATAGTCACAAAAAGTAAATCTCTTCTAATATGTAACTGGCTGATGCCAATTCAGAACATTCCATACCAACACAACAATAACTATGGAAATCATGAGGTATGACTAACGGGGAAAAAGGCAAAACCCAACATCCAAAGTGCATATACTTCAATATAACTGCAATATATTTCTACTTTTGTAAAAAAAAAAAAAAGTTTTCTTTAAACTATAAATCTAAAAGAAAAGCACATGTATCATTTCACATTCTTTTTCTGAATTTAAAAAACATATACATAATTGTCCTTTGTTTTTGATAAGTTCAAATATGAATTGACAGTGGGGTTATTGGATTCTTTAAGAAAGCTCTATAGAATAGATGACTATAACATACTATATCTTCTTTAAGAAGTATGAGCTGAAAGGTTAGGCATTCCTTGTGTTGTTTTTGTATATATTTAAGGAATGATCTTCTTATAAACAATGGCTTTGAAAACGATATTATTTCAAATATATATTTGAGACCAAAATATATTACTAGAGGATCTCTATAAAAGGTTACCAAAATTAAACTTATTCATGAAATCAGGGAAAACGTTTTTAGAATTTATCTTTCTAGAAAAACATGCTGCCATTTTTCTTCCTTTTTCTTTTTTCTGATTATCACAATTAAACATCAGAGGATTTCCCCCAATACATACTGATGTAAATGTTGATTTCAAGGGCAAACAACTTTCATAAGAGTCTATTTCTCAGGCAGTTCACCATGTGCTGAGACTGAGGCAGCACTGTTCTGGTGTGAATTGTCACTGGACTGCTGTGAAGTATTCCTTCTGGGAGAGTTTGTTGGGACCCGAAGCTGATTGTCAGGTGTAGGCTTAGCAGCACTCGGTGACTTTGTAGAGGAATTAGATGGAAGTCTGTGACGATTACTCGCCTCACCAGAAGTAGATGAATGTCTTTTTCTTCCAAATTCCTCACCTATAGGGGGCTGCAAATTATGAAAGACAACATAGTGATGATTTTACTATTTTCTCCTCCCTTCAAAATCTAAGGCCAGACTTTTATAACAGAGGGAAACTATGCCAGCACTTCAGTAGATTTTATTAGTATAATGAAAACTTAACAGCAATTTAAGGTATTAAACTTAAATTTCCTCCTTATCAGTCAATTCTTTCATTCAACATGTTTATTAAGCTACTCCTATGTTTTAGGGCTTGAACTAAATAGTAGGGCATAAGGATAAGGCTGGGTTCGTTGTCTCTGGGAAAATGTTTCAGAGAGGACATTTTCCTTCTTTATGAAACTTCTGTCAGTTGCAAAGCATTTATAACTCTAACCCCTTTCTTCTCCAAACTTCCACAGTATTTAAAATGCAAATAGTCATACTTAACAGCACTGATACAGGAAAACATGACACAAATTTAAAAGCAGAGGTCTGAATTCTTGGCTTCTGTTCAGATAGGGCAAAAATCACTAGTATTATAAAGCAGGGACATCTTGTGACAGAACTGGCTGGACCACTCTAGAAACATAGCTTTTTTTTTTTTTTTTTTTTTTTTTTTTTCTAATTTTTGGCCATGCTGCAAGGCATGAGGGATCTTGGTTCCCTGAGCAGGGATCGAATGTGTGCCCCTTGTATTGGGAAGTGTGGAGTCTTAACCACTGGACCACCAGGGAAGTCTGAAACACAGCTCTTTAATTCCAGAGATGGAGGCACTTCTATTAACTCCATCCCTGGGCTATCAAATCTATTTACACAAAACTACAAAAGACAAACTAATTATAATACTAAGCAGAGATGAACCTAGCCTTCCTTTCACCTCTCTCTTTTCTGCTCTTTTTGATTCTTCTTTCCTTATTTCTCTCTTCTCTTCTTTCTCCTTTTCCTTTATCTTATTATGCTCATCCACTTCTTTTCTTAAAATGTTTTCCTTTTCCTCTTGAAATCAAATTGTCTAAACCCTATTCTCCTGTCTCTACACATGCACATAACATTCTTGCCCTAATTTTATTATGTGGGGAACCATAAATCCATGTTACATGAGCACGTGTTATGGAAACTATAGGATTCAAGTACATAAAAAGTGAAAAATTTAAAAACTGCTAGTGAGGGGACTTCCCTGGTGGTCCACTGGTAAAGAATCTACCTTAAATGCAGGGGACGCGGGTTCAATTTCTGGTCAGGGAACTAAGATCCCACATGCTGTGGGGCAACTAAGCCCACGTGCCACAACTCCTGAGCTCACGTGCCTCAACTAGAGAGCCTGACTACAGAGCCCACATGCTCTGGAACCTGCACACCACAACTACAGAGTCCACAGGCCCGGGAGCCTGCACAACACAACTAAAGAAGAGAAAACCCACACGCCACAACTAGAGAGAAGCCCGTGTGCCACAACGAATATCCCGTTGTGCCGTGACTAAGACCCGACACAGCCAAAAATAAACAAAATAAAATAAAGAAATCTTTAAAAAAATAAAAATAAATAAAAACTGCTAGTGAGAAATGAGTAACATATCCATATAAAAGTTACTAAATCCATAAAATGTTTATCATGCATATCAAAATTAAAGAGAACTGACCATTGCTCCATGGTCATGTAAGATATTAACATTTAGGGACTCTGGGTAAACAGAATATATGGGAATTTGCTATACTATTTTTGCACCTCTTTTAAAGTTTGATTTCAAAACTGGAAAGTTAAATTTTCAAAATTAAATTTAAAAAATAAAAATTATACTGGGCTTCCCTGGTGGCGCAGTGGTTGAGAGTCCGCCTGCCGATGCAAGGGACACGGGTTTGTGCCCCGGTCCGGGAAGATCCCACATGCCGCAGAGCGGCTGGGCCCGTGAGCCATGGCCACTGAGCCTGCGCGTCCGGAGCCTGTGCTCCGCAACAGGAGAGGCCACAGCAGTGAGAGGCCCGCGTACCGTAAATAAATAAATAAATAAATAAATAAAAATTATAAAATTAAACTTAAGAAAGTCACTGATAGCTCAAACATAAGAGTAATAAAAATAATACAGGGGAAAGGACTTAAAACTTACGTCAACATGGAAGTCTTCCAACTTCTTAAAGCTACAGAGGTATTCCTGAAGTTTGGGGTCAACAGACTGTGTCTTAGATTGAGAATATTTTAGGTAAGCCCAAAACTTTTCTAATCCATACAGCTGACCTAATAACAAAGAAGAATATACATGCTAAAATATATAGAATCTTTAAAAAATGATTCATATTGGATATGATCCTACCACCATTAAACCATGTCTTCTATGTACACTTTATCTAGATCTTGAAGATAAGACATTGTAATGAATAATGGCAGCTAACATTTATTGAGCATTTGCCACGTAACACGTATTATTTAAGTGGTTTATTGTATATTAAACTAATTTGAACTATATACAACCCTGTAATATAGGTGCTCTTGGGTATATTACTGATGAGTAAACTGGGTTAACAAGGTTTTGGGGTTTTGTTTGTTTGTTTGTTTTTCTAACAAGGTTAAGTAACTTACCCATGGCCACAGAGCTACAAAGTAGGGGAAATGGGATTCAGACTTACGGATCTAGCCCAGAGTCTGCACTGTTACTCACTGTGCTATTCCACCTTTCCAAGCACACTTGCTCATGTTGCACAGAATTTTCATGTAATGGAACATCAGTGAGTAGTCATGTGTGTCAAATGAATAAAGACAAAATACAAATAAGGAAACACTTCGGAGTGGCTATTTTCCAACATCTCACAAGTAAGACCTTCGTACTATATGGTGCTCTATCCTTCATCACAAACCATAATAGTGGCCTGAAAGTCTTAAATAGTCTGCCCCCCAAAAAAGTTACAAACTCCCTACTTATTGACAGACTCAGATTTACAATTTCCAAAGAGAATAAGTTTATTGTTTTATTTTACCAGATTCGTAGTCTTTTTTGGTTTCTTCTTGGAAATCCTTAAAAATTTCTTGTCTGAATTTTTTTTCCAGTCCATAACTATAAAACCTGAACAGACATTCTAATCCATACCTGTGGGAAGAAAATAAAAAGTTTATAATAAAATTTTTCCTATGACAATGCAAATAGTCATATTTAACAGCACTGATACAGGAAAACATGACACAAATAATCTCAAACAAAAGTGTTCAAATGTATGTAATTTTTAGTACGCAGATTTTTAGCTGAAGTGGTAATTAGTAATCTACAGCTGGCTTTGCTATTTTTGTTGACTCAGGCATAGCATCTCATGGAGGTATACTGGGAATATGCAAAATAAGAGGCAGCCCTCGGACAACTACACTATGGCTTCTTTGAACAGACACAGGATCTCTCCCTGGTATTTCTGAAGAACTCCCTGGCATTTTTCCCCGGTATTTCAAAAGATTTAGTGACAAACTGGCAATGTTTTAGATTTTTTTCCCAAACCAAGGCTTATAATGGTGTGTTAGTACATGGTATTAAATACTCGAACATAATCTCTAGGAAGATAAAGACCATACTCTTGGGCCACAGACTCTAGGTGTGGTTGACCCATTCAACTATAAAGGGACAAACCTAATTAAATGTCTCCTAAGAGAGCCTTCCTGCTTATAAAGTATATTAAATAAAAGATATTTTGCCAAAAGAATTGTATCACTGCATAAATCAGAAAAATTTGTTTCTTCTTACAGCTACCTAAAGAAGCTGAGACAAGTTTTGGACAGTGGATCAAGAAACTACATGGGCTCAACCTTCAACTAATGGTGATGAGCAGAACCCATGAGAGTGGACATGGACAAGGTCAATGGACAGCAGTAACGGGACCATCCAGCTCACTCAAAGAAAGCATGTCACAATTTAGAAAATCCCTCATGTAGAATCCTTAAGTCATTCTGGGTGCCTCAGTGGAGGGGAGGCTATATTTCTTCATTCCTGGTATCATAATACTGCCCAACCATTATTCACAGGAAGAAGGGTGTGTGTATATGTGTGTGTGTGTGTGTGTGTGTGTGTATCCATGCATATGTCCTTTGTAACCAGCTTATTTACAAGATAGAGAGTGACGGTCTCTCTGGAAGAATAAACAGGTTTCTTGGTAAGATGGCAAGAGGAATGCAGGACTACCAACCATACACTAACCTGAGCCCTTTCCTTTGGTAGCCATAAATGACACTATTCCTTGAGCTTGTATGACTGAGGCTAAGGGGACTGAGTACTAAAGGAACAACAGTTCAGAATGACAAACCTGTCTTAATACTCCTCTTATGGGATCATATTATATTGATACCAGTGGTTTTCAACCTTGACTACATATGTGAACCATCTAGGAAGCTTTTAAAAAATGCTGACGCCCAGGCTCCACTCCAAACCAATGAAATCATAATCTCTGGGGCTGAAGCCAAGGCTTCTTTCTTTCTTTCTGGAAAGCAGGATTGAGAAATTTTAGGTTTTATCAAGTAAATGACATTTTAGAAGAATGTTAGGATTCTTAGATTTTGGGTAAAGGCCAACTGACTACTACAATATCTGGATTTCTAGTCTTACTTTTTAGGAAACTAATTCCAAAGATGAAAAATATGACATTAATAATACAATCCAAATATGCAGCATAAATGCTGGAGTAAAGAGCAGGGGCAAATGACCAGTCTCTCAGTTGTCATTTACTCACTGACCAATCACTGTGAGACAGCTTAGATGAGTAGAAAACAAAAAGGCTGAGAACCGGAAAGAACTACATTTGAATTCTAGGCTTATAATCATCTCTCTAAAAATGGGGATAATAATATCCTACTTTTCAATAATAGATAATATTTGTAAAGCACTTAGACCAGAGCTGGCACATTGCAGATATGTATGTAATTAATGTTACTTCTCTCCTTTCTTCTTGAAACCATCCTACTGCTAATGTTAGTCAATGGATATATTCAGTACTGATCTTCTTCCTAATAAAAGTAACCATTTATTGAGCACTTACTATGTATCAGGTAGTATGTTAAGCTATTATAAACATACACAGAATACCATAGGAACAAAGAAGAGGAACTCCCAATCTAGACTTGGGTATAAATGGGATCAGAAAAGTTATAGAAAGTCCTGAGAAACAAACAGAAATTATTTGCATAAATAGCAAAATATGCTGAGATTAATTATAACAAATGCTTTCAAACTTTTCTAAGTCCAATAGTAAGAAAAATATTTTACCTTGTGACCAAGTCAACACTCACATATATACGTGTGTACATAAAAACATATGTTTTGTAAATAATTAAATTTGTATTTATGTATGAATTGTAAAACATATTAACCTTACTATGTTCAGTGCAGTCTGATATTTTCTATTTTTTTAAGTAAGTCAGAACCACTAAACTGATTTCACAACCCACTAACGGGTAGCAAAACACAGTTTGAATGAGAAAATCTAGATCAGCCACTATGAAGAACAGTTTGGAGGTTCCTTAGAAAAATAAACATAGAACTACCATATGATCCAGCAATCCCACTCCTGAGCATGTATCTGGAGAAAATTACAATTCGAAAATATACATGCACCCCAACGTTCACAGCAGCACTATTTACAATAACCAAGACATGGAAGCAACCTAAATGTCCATCGACAGATGAATGAATAAAGAAGATGTGGTACATATATACAATGGAATGCTACTCAACCATAAAAAAAGAATGAAATAATGCCATTTGCAGCAACATGGATGGACCTAGAGATTGTCATACGAAGTCAGACAAAGACAAGTATCATATAGATATCACTTATATGTGGACTCTAAAAAGATGATACAAATGAACTTATTTACAAAACAGAAACAGGCTCACAGACTTTGAAAACAAACTTATGGTTTGTTTTCCAAAGGGAAACGGTGAAGGGGAGGGATAAATTAGGAGGTTGGGATTAACATATACACACTACTGTAGATAAAATAGATAATTAACAAGGACCTACTAGCACCGGGAACTCTACTCAACCTATATGGGAAAAGAATCTGAAAAAGAATGGATTATATGTATATGTATAACTGAATCACTTTGCTGTACACCTGAAACTAACACAACATTGTAAATCAACTACACCCCAACATAAAATAAAAAATTTTGAAAGAAAGTAATGGCAAATATTGCCTTCAGTGCCAACTCTGATAAACTGGCAGTAGCTATCAAAGCTGTGATAAGAAAGACTATAAATCCGAATTCAAGAATAATATTAAACAATGCTGCGATTGATTTAGAGATGTCAGTAATGAACAGAGAAGAGGGAAAAAGAGGTACACATGCCATTTATTTATCATTCCTGATCAAGATTCTAGATGAAAACTAAATGGGCTTTATTTTTACACAAGTCAGTGCAAATGTATATTTTGTTTCAAAGAAATTTATTTGCATATCTTGTATTCCTCTTGATCACAATATTGATTAACAATAGATTCTTATTTGAGCTTTACAAGAGGAATCCATTTTTAGAACCTGAAGAAGGGTAAATTTAGGTAAATATTGAGTGGAAAATTATCTTTTTTCTTCTTCCATATCATCTTCCTTCCTCCCTTTTCCCAAGAATGAATAGCTTAGCTTGCATGAATCCATTTCATGTTCCTTCTCATCCTCTTGGTCTGTTCTCAATTCAGCCCTATTGGCACAAATTACCCTGAACATTCCTCATGGAACCAAGATCTAACCTAGACAAAAAGAAGAGTTAGCAAAGCAGAGGGAGGATGAAGAGAAGAATAAGCAGAGGTAAGAATATGTACAGATGTCTAGAGGCTAGAGAGCTCGGTTCATTTGGAGAACATGTAGTTCAGTACCACGGTTGCCTAGAGGACTACAGTTGACCCTTGAACAACATGCACGTTAGGAGCGCCAACCCTCCCACAGTTAAAAATCTGAGTATAACTTAAAAGTTGGCCCTCTGTATACACGGTTCCTCCATATCCATAGTTCCTCATCCACAGATTCAAGCAACCATGGATTATGTAGTACTGTAGTATTTACTATGGAAAAAATTCTGCATATAAGTGGACCCATTCAGTTCAAACTGGTATTGTTGAACAGTCAACTGTAGTAGGAAAAAATGAGACTGAACAGGTGTGTCAGGATGTATCATGAGAGACCTTATTTTTTCTTGTCTCAAGGAATCTTAACTGGTTTGGCTCTAAGCATGTAACAATTTGAGGATGTATATGCACATCCAAGGGAAATTTGTAATGGTAGGGGCAAGAGAGAGAAAAATCTGTCTTTCAAATTACATTTGGCCTTTGTACCAGCCCCTAACATGGTTCCAAACATGATACCCACAAACTTGTGTAGTCCCCTCCTACATTATACCAGGGTTGGTCTGTGTGAACACTATAATATGGCAGAAGTGATGTCACTTTCAAGTGCAGGTTACGTAAGACACCAAAGCGTTCATCTTGGAAGTTCTCCCCCTTTCTTAGATCATTCACTCTGGGTGAAGTCACATCGTGAAATGCCCTATGGGGAGACCTATGTGCCAAGGTACTGAAGCCTCCTGCCAATATCCAAGTGAATGAGCTTGAAGAAGATGCTCTAGCCTGAGTCAAGTCTTCAGAGACTGCAGCCCTGTCCAATACCTTGACTGCAATCCTATGAGAGAAGTGAACAAGAGCCACCCAGCTAAGCTGTTTCTGGAGTCTTGACCCTTAGAAACTATGAACTAATAAATGTTTTTTGTTTTAAGCTTCTGCGTTCTGGGGTAATTTGCTATGCAGCAATAGAAAACTAACACAGTCCTTCTCCCAGTTATCACGTGGTACTTTCACAGTTCAAAATCAGGCTACTTCCGTACCAGTTTTTAGTATTTTTAAAAAATTCCCTCCAAGTGTAAAAATATGAGAAAATATTTGACCTGTAATTTTCTTTTGCATCTTCCCAAGCAAGTTGTCTAAATTCCTCATACATTGTTTTATTGAAGTGATCTCTGAGGAAAAAGGACCAGAAACGAAAGAGGGTATTCATTTCTTGGGACTGGCCAATTCCCAAGTGTTTTCTCTCTGGAAAAAGTCAAAACAGCAGATGTTTTACATAGCGTAAAATAAAGAAAGCTGAAACATATTAATCCCCAATTGGGTTTCTTTTAAACAAAGAACAAATAATCCATTTTCTGACTCACTGCTCAAATTTAAGCATTTGTCAATAGTAACAAGAATATAGTAAGCTTTATTTCCTAATGTGTCTAAGCTACAAAATACATGAATAAAGAATATATATGAATACATTTACTTAAGGCAATTTTAACAAAGGACTATTTTAACCTGATATTAAATGTCACAACTTGAATTTTTTAGAATTATGTTTTAATTTTAAAGATAGCTATATAAAGGAAGGCTCTTACCACTTAGGCATCTTCTACGATACTTGTGATACACTTGTTGGGTAAAGCCATTTTCCTTCAAAAGTTCGTGAGAAGGATGCTGGAACTTTGGGAATGAACGAGGAGTACATCCATAACTTCCTACTAGTGGTGCACCTTCTGAAGGCGAAGCATTTGAACTGCTGTTTGAGGAGGGGGAAAAAAGCCTTCAAACTGAAATATCAAGAACCAAGTGTTTAAACCAATTTGTACTAGTTGTTTACTGAGAATCTGAGCAGTGGAAAAGGCATTAGTCCCTAAAGCTCTCCTAAACTAATGATACACAGATCTACATATGAATTGCTATCTATGTTCAACACATGGGTAAATTCAGAAGTTGATAAAGGACATGGTCATAAATTCTCAAACTAAAACAATAAGTAGAAGCAGATAACTGACTAGCTAGCTTACTCTTCTCTTCCAGATACATTATTAATTTAGTTTATATTTGTTTTTTTCTTATAGTACTGGGGAAATTTTCAATTTTCATGAGTAATTAGGTTAATGATATAAATTGAATAAGTGTATAAAATCTGGCACAAAGGCAATATTTTCATTATCCTAAAGACATACCTGTAATTCTGTAAATCAATTTCACTTCTGAAATTTCGCCTATATCTATCTTTTCCTTTCCATCTTCACTATGTTATTCAAATTGAGGCTTTCCTCCTCTTTCACTTGAACTAATTGGTCTCCTTGTTTTTTCAATCTCCCTGCTCTATACTGCCACCAAAATGATCTTCCTAAGACTGCTCTAAATCAGTGGTTCTCAATGTGTGGTCTGTAGATGCTTGGAGGGGTTCCCAAGAACCTTTCAGAAAGTCTGCAAGGTCAAAACTATTTTCATAACAATACTTAGACATTATTTGCCCTCTTCACTGTGTTTACATCTGTACTGATAGTACTAAACAATGGTGTATAAAACTGCTGATGCAAACTGAGTCAGTGGCACCAAACTTTACTTACTAGTGGTTATATTATTCACTGCTATGTACTTGAAAAAAAAATTTTAATGCCAGTTTCACCTTAAGAGTTCCTTGATGAAGCAAAAAAAAAAAAATTAACTTTATGAAATCTCAACACTTGAGTACGTCTCATTGTGTGTGACAAAATGGGACAGAAGCTTTAGTTTTGCAAAATGAGAACATTCTGGAGATATTTCACAACAACGTGAATATACTTAACACTACTGAACTGTACTCCTAAAAATGGTTAAGATGATGAATATTTCATGCTATGTGTTTTTTATAACAATTAGGGGGAGAAAAGCACTTTTGTAGCATATCAAAATATGATGGCTGTTGTTATGAACTAAATGTTTGTTGAATTCCTAACTCCCAATGTGACGGTACTAGGATGTAAAATAAGTCATGACACTAGAGCTCTCATGAGTGGGATAAGTGCCCTTATGAGAGGAGACACAAGAGAGCTTCCTTCTTCTCTTTCTGCTCTCTGCCATGTGAGGATACAACAAGATGGCCATCTGCAAACTAGGAAGCAGGCCCTCACCAGATATGGGATCTGTTGGCACCTTAATCTTGGATCTGTGAGAAATAAATGTTTGTTGTTTAAGCTCCCCAGCCTATGGCATATTTGTTACAGCAGTACTAACTACAACAGTTGTCTTAAAGCACTCATGCGATAAAATTGTGAGCCAAACTGTTTTTTTCATGGAATACCATTTTTAATTAGAAGAATAGCCAACAAATTATGGTTATTCAGACTTCATTTTGTGTCAGACATTTCCTTGAAAATGAACAAAATGAGTCTGTAACGTTCAGGAAAACTTCGAGCTTTCATGCAAAAATAAGAATTTTGGAAACTTTGTATTTGTCACCATGAGCCTAGTAATTCCCACTCATACCTAAACACTTATCTAATGAAATCAGTGCTGGGTTATTTTGTAGGAGTTTGTGTGTGTTGTAAAATATATATGATATTTGTAATTTTAGCCATTCTTAAGTGTACTACTCATCAGCATTAAATATTCACAATGTTATATAACTGCTACCACTACCTCTACCAAAACCACCTTCATCGTCCCCAACAAAATGTTATATAACTGCTACCACTACCTCTACCAAAACCACCTTCATCGTCCCCAACAAAAACTCTATCCATTAAATAATGAATAACCCCCTTCCCTCTCCCTGCAGTCCCCAGTAACCTCTATTTTACTTTGTCTTTGACTATTCTAGGTACCTCATATAAGTGGAAACATACTATATTCATCCTTCTCAGTCTGCCTTATATCACTAAGCATGTTCTCAAGGTCCATCCATGTTAAAGCTGAAATCAAAATTTCATTCTTTTATATGGTTGAATCATATTCCATTGTATGTATATACCTACTATGTTTATCTAGTCATCTGCTGATGGACTCTAGTGTTGTTTCCACCTTCTGGCTATTATGAATAATGCTGCTATAAACATGGCATAAAAATATCTGTTCAACTCCCTCTTTTCAATTCTTTTGGATATATACCTAGGAGTCAAATAGCTGGGTCATGTGTTAGTTCTGTGTTTTACCATTTTGAGAAAATGCCAAACTGCTTTCTACAATGGCTGCAGCATTTTATATTTCCAAGAGCAATGCACAGGGTTCTAATTTCTCCACATCCACACAAACATTTGCTTTCAGTTTTTTTGATTATACATATCTGTATTAGTCAGCTCAGCTGCCATAACAAGATACCACAGACTGGATGGCTTACACAATAGAAATTTATGTTCTCACAGCTCTGGAGGCTAGAAGCCCAAGATCATAGTGCCAGCAGTGTTGGTTTCTGGGGAGGCCTCTCTTCCTGGCTTACAGAGAACCACCTTCTCATTGTGTCCTCACATGGCCTTTCCTCTGTCTACACGCAGAAAGAGAGAGATCTCTGGTGTCTCTTCCTCTTCTTATAAGGTCAGATTAGGGCCCCATCGTATGGTTTCATTTAACCTTAATTATCTCCTTAAAGGCCCAATCTCAAATACAGTCAAGCAGGGGGGTTAGGGTTTCAGCATATAATTTCAGAGAGACAATTCAGTCCATAACACCATCCTAATGGGTATGAAGAGATATCTCATTGTGGTTTTTGATTTGCATTTCTCTAATGATTAATGATATTGCACACATTTTCATGGGTTTATTGGCCATTTGTATATCTTCTCTGGAGAAATGTCTATTCAAATCCTTTCCCAATTTTTGAATTGGGTTTTTTGGGAGACTTCTATATATTTGGAATATTAACCCATTATCAGATATATAATTTGCAAATATTTTCTCCTATTCAGTCGGTTGTCTCTTCACTCTGATAGTTTCCTTTGATACACAAAAGTTCATAATTATGATGAAGTAAAATTGATCAATTTTTCTCTTTTATTGTCTGTGTTTTTGGTGTCATGCTCAAGAAACCACTGTAAAACCTAGGGTCATAAAGATGTTCCCCTACATTTTCTTCTAAGAGTTTTACAGTTTTAGCTGTTAAGTTTAGATCTTTGATCCATTTTAATTTTTCGGTATCTGGTGTAAAGTATGGATCCCATCCTTTCACACGTTGTATATCCAGTTTTCCCAGCAACATTTGTTAAAAAGATGACCCTCTCCTTCACTGAACAGACTCAGCACCCTTGTAGAAAATAAACTGACCATATATGACAGATTTTATTTCTAGACTCTCTATTCCATTTGTCTATACATCTGTCCTTATGCCAAGACCATACTGTTTTAATTATTGTAGCCTTGTAGTAACTTTCAAAGTTGGGAAGTGTTGGTCCTCCAATTTTATTCTTCTTTTTAAGGTCATTTGGGCTTTTCAAGGCTCCTTGCAATTCCATATAAATTTGAGGATCAGCTTTTCCATTTTTGTGAAAAAGGCTATTGGAATTTTTGTAGGGATTGTGTTGAATCTATAGATCACTTTGGATTGTAATAATGTCTTAACAATGTTAAGTCTTCCTATCCATGAAAATGGATTGTCTTTCCATTTATTTAGGTCTCCTATAATTTTTTCAGCAATGTGTTTTGTAGTTTTCAATGTATAAGTCTTTCACCTCCTTGGTTAGATTTATTCCTAAGTATTTAATTTTTAGACGCTAATGTAAATAGAATTGCTTTTTTAATTTCCTTTTCAAATCATTCAATGCTGCATATAGAAACACAAGCTGATTTATGTGTATTTTATACAGTGTAACTTTGCCAAATTTGTTTATTAGCTTCAGTTTCTTTCTTGTTGATTCTTTGTAATTTTCTATTTATGGAATCATATTATTTGTGACTAGAGATAGATTTACCTCTTCCTTTCATATTTGATGTCTTTTCTTTCATTTTCTTCTCTATTAGTTCTGGCTAGGACTTCCAGCACAACAGTGAATACCAATGACAAAAGCGTGTATCCCTGTCTTGTTCCTGATCTTAGGGGGACAGCTTTCAGTCTTTCACCATTGAGTATAATGCCAGCCATGGGTTTCTCATAAATGCTTTTTTCATGTGAGGAATTTTCCCTCTAATCTTAGTTTTCTAAGAGGTTTTAATCATAAAAGGAAGTTGGATTTTGTCCTTTCCTATGTCAATTGATAAGATTATGTAGTTTTTCCCTTAGTTCTATTAATATGATGTATAATGTTGATTTTCTTGTATTGAACCACTCTCGTACTACTGGGATAAATCCCGCTTGCCATGGTGAATAATCATTTTATTATGCTATTGGATTTCATTTGCTAATATTTTGTTGAGGACATATGCATCTATATTCATAGGGATACTGGCATATAATTTTATTTTCTTGTGATATCTTTATCTAGTTTTGGTATTAGGGTAATGCAGGCCTCAGAGAATAAATATTCCCTTCTCTTCAATTTTTTGAAGGAGTCTGAAGAGAGTTAGTGTTAATTCTTCTTCAACTATTTGGTAGAACTTTGGTAGTGAAGCAATTTGGTAGTGAAGCAATTTGGTCCAGAACTTTCTTTGTTAGGGATTTCTGATTCCTGATTTGATCTCTTTACTTCTTATATGTGGGTCGAATCTTCTATTTCTTATTGAATCAGTTTAAGTAATTTATATGTTTCAAGGAATTTATGCATTCCTTCTAGGTTACCTAACCTTCTAGGTTACCTAGGTTACCTATAGTAACCTTCTAGGTTACTATACCTAATTGAT